CATCGCTACCTCGCAGAAATTGAATGAATATGCATTCCATTCATAAGAATCACTCGAGGTTCGTTGCCTGCCCGAAGGAGGAACGCACAGCTGACTCCCCCGATGTCGAAATCAAGGCGCGTGATTTTGGATGCAAATTAGAAAGGATCCGGATGCGTGTGTCCAAAAAAATGAGCAGAAATCACAAAGATTAGAAATCACACGAAAAATCAGAAGAAAGAGTTCGAAAATCTTCACAAATCAGATATAAATTAGATCGAAGCTGAAAGTCCAACATTCCATTCGGCGGACGAAGGAATAATTTGATATCAACAATTACTATCGGATAGAATGCGAAACGAATGTGGTCGCGTGCTATCGAGCAAATCTGAAACGCATTAGCGACAAGTTAATAACGTCGATACTCGAGTGCCGGGAGCACGCAATTTTTACGACCCACGATAAGAAACGAAGTCAAGAACGCGCGCAAGGTAAAGTGGTTTTTGATAACATTATTAGCTTTATCAACTTTAATTAATATTACGCATATTTCATTTTATTCGCGAACGGAAACAAAACATTGTACAAAAAAAGAGATAATAAAATTCTCTGCTAAAATTATATTCTTTTCAACACGGCATTACTAATATTTCATCGATATGAAAAAGAAAACAGTAAAGTTGTAAAGAGGCTTATCAACAGATGTATTATTCTCAGTCACGGTGTACTGTTCAAACATTAATATTCATTAGGCATACGCCAACTAGAAATACTCATGCTAGTCATACACGACACTAAACTAGATAAGTCACAGCTAATAAGTCTTACGCCTCTTACGGCATTAACAAAATAAACAAAACTTCCTTTTAAAAATACGACAAACATTCTAAGAAAAATTATTGATTTCTAATATAGAAAGATGTAGAAGAATGCGTTAAAATTTGTTCTAAGATCATCTGGTTCGTGTAGTGATGCACACACAATACGACTGTTATATTGTGGAGAAATAATATACAAAAATCCGCACTTTTAGCTCGCGATATAAGCGAATAGTTGCTATGCGGCGTTTCGGGTCACGCAAAGTTTCGCCACGCTAGCTTAGCTCTATCTCAAATGGCATCGGAAATCTTTTCTCGTGGTAAGAGATGCAAATAACTTCTTCGTCACGAGGGGACCGTCCGGCAGAAATTTCTTCGGGGCGCTAAGGGCCCGTCCGTTTGCCCGGTAACTCAAGCGGAATAATTACTGGGCACGTATATAGGCACACTACTCGAAACCCTCTCCACTTTTTCATACGACTCCTTGGCGGGCAGGGGTGAGCGAATTTACTCTTAGGGGGAATCTTCTTTCACACAGGTGTCGAGGCGCAGAACGAAGGAACCGCATTATACGCGCGGCTGCGCAAGTCGGATTTTTCGAATCTTGCCCACATTAATGATTCTTTTTCCCAGTTAATCTTTTTTGCGTCCTGACCCTATCTATTATTTTAACCTCGTTTAAAGCAAATCTTAAGAAAAAGACACAAACCACCGTTGCGCTAATCTAACCGCGTGTTTATAAAATTTCGTGTAAAAAAAGAACAAGATTATCTTATTATTAAAAGAGACATTTGCCGCGTAGCATTTATGCAATGTATGTGCCATAACCATTTTGTAATGACCAATGTGGTGCTAAAGCGATATAGTAAATATTATTATTATTACTCCAAGCTGTTATCGATCGTCGCGTGCATTCCATTTACGTAATCAAAAGCGCATTTGTAAGGTTATCACGCATAAATGTCGCGACGAAACAATAAGCGCATCGTCATGCAACAGACGTGCGTCGACATATATCGCGCAGTCGGCTAAAAGTAGTCAAGTCGTGAAGTCATACAGCTAACAGCGGATCGATCACGTCGATTTAAGCTGACTTCTTCGTATTTTTTTTATTCGACTCTATAGGGATAATTTTTCATACGTGACTGTCTTTCGAACACATCGAGAAAGAGAAAGAAAGATGAGTCTGACATCGCGGATCACCGGCAACAACTAAAGTCGTGCGAATGATCGTGACAACGTCAAGGAGGAGAAGAGGCTGCGAGCCAGCGGACAAGCGTCGATCATCGGTAATTTCACAGCGAATATTTTTGCCCGTGGCGAAAAATCGCGGATTTTTGCCGTAAAACGAGACAATCGCCGTCGCGCCCTCGGGACGATCGTGCGCTTTGTCTCGCGGCTCGTTCGATTGGCGGCGAGTGGAAAAACTCTTGTTGACGGGGTCAAGGATGGAGTTAAGGAGCGAGTCGAACACGGGGAGGTATGAAAAACGTTCCGTCGTTCGACGTTCAGGTGCGGGCTTACTCGAGAGAAAAACTTATGCGCGATTTAGTTGCTCGTGTTTCCTCCATGGCATCCACGATGCGGAACACCGCCCTTCGAAACGGTACGAAACGGCGGTTGCCCTGGCAAGCCGTTAAAGAGGTCGTCGCCGGCCGTAGGAAGTGCCGTGCCCAAGGAAGGAGAATATTTTTGAAACTACGTCTCTGAACGCTCACTCAGCTGTTACCTTTTTTTTTAGAGTTCATCTTGATTGCACGAGTGTGCCCGCGTGTAAGAGTTCCTTACTGTCGCACTTCCCATTGTTATAAAAAAATTCTGTCGTTGGAAAATATCTCTTCTGACACCATAAATGAGACATTTGTTGAATTGCATTGAAACGTAGATGTATGTGATATATCAATAACCTTTCAAAATCCGCAAATCTCTATTCTTATTGTCAAATAAAAAATTGTGCTAATTACAGATAATTTCATAATTTTTAATTTTATAAACGGTAAAAGTAAAATATTTCGCCAACTTCAAAATATTCTCAACTAATTTAATACGCGAATATACATATGTGTAGTATATCAGCTTAATTGGCAATTTCTCATTTTGTTTTGATTGAACTGGTGAAAAGGTTAAAACCGCGGAAAGATCAACTGTCAGGAAGCAACGCGAATTTCTCTCAATTTCGCGTCTTATCATGACAAGCTGCGTTTCAATAAGATACAATGAGTCAGAATAATCTTCGTGTTACGCTCAATCGAGATGTGCGCCTATCGGATTCTACGAGCCAATATACGAGCGGCGATCACGTTACTCTCTTTGATCGTAAATGCGATCCGTCCGGCGCTCCTCGGAAAACTGCAACCTTGGACCTCGAGCGTTGCCGATAACGGTGCAACGCTGTTAATTAAGGCGCTATCGTTATAGCATCGCGCGAATTATCGGATGTGCATCGTTAATTAAGCTCCATCCCGCCCAGACGGTTCCACGAAAGCAGACATTAGTCTGGAACGGAAATACGCGCCCCAGGGTGACGTCTCGATCATCGAACTTCTCGAAGGTAGCTCCAATGCGATTTTCTTGCTAATCGTCTTCTACCCCCCTTCCTCCCCCTCCTGCCGCCCTCATCTTCGAACACAATAAGGTTCGTGGAACGTCCGGCGACATATCTTCGCCGGGAGAATATCGCCCATTGTCACGACAAACACTTTACTTACTAAAATGTTCGTCCATCGGCATCGATATAAATTCGCTTTGCAGGATGAATGACCGCGCGCAATAAAACGTGCGGTTAACGGGTTCTTTCGCGCATGCGTTCCGTTTTGCACTGTCGTTCGCGGTTACTCGTCCGCGCAAGGCCTAAGCGAATCTAGGCTAGTCAGCTGCAGCCGAGATGCAGCGACTGACTAGTCTTACCTTGAGACTAGTTGCATGCCAAGTGTCACAGCCGCAACACCGCGGAGAGAGAGTCCCTCCGTCCGCGATTCGACGCGTCAATGTGCGTTTGCTCACAATTTCCGTTGTGTCGCCCTATAAACTTCGCAAGGGAGTGGTCATTTACATATCAAGATATTTTAATTATCCGCAATCACGAGGTAAGTTAATTTCAAGTGATTGTGGAAAGTGGGAAACAGCTGCGAGCTGTTATTATTTCTCACGGAAATATTTTCAAATCGTTTGAGAAATCATTAGAATATCAGAATTGTTAGAAGATATATTAAAGGGACTAGGGAGGGTTGAAAATGCAGAAATTGGCTCGTGTTTAATTGTTTATAACAAGGCCGCGAATGAACATAAAACTTTTTTATTGTTAAGGGTATTAATTATAACATTATAAATGAGAAAATTCATTGAAAGCCATTCTCAGATCAATAATAACGGCGTCCCAATATAACAAAGAAAACTGTCGAATCCACGGTTTTATCACAATTCCGGTTGAACAGATAAAGGTTTTGGCAAATTTCAGGAATATTTCTTCTCCTTAGGCTTCCCTCTATTGATTATACCTAAAAAATTAAGAATAAAAATAAAATTAACAAAATGGCGTCCAGAAAACAAATTTTTTTCCCAAATTTTTTGTTTTCTGGACGCCATTTTGTCAATTTTATTTCTATTTTTAATTTTTTAGGTATAATCAATAGAGGAAAGCCTAAGGAGAAGAAATATTCCTGAAATTTGCTAAAACCTTTATTCGTTCGACTGGAATCGTGATAAAACCATGGATTCGACAGTTTTCTTTATTATATTGGGATACCGTTATTATTGATCTGGGAATGACTTTAAATAAATTTTCTCATTTTATAATGTTATAATTAATACCCTTAACAATAAAAAAGTTTTATGCGTTTATTCGCGGCCTTGTTATAAACAATTAAACACGAGCCAATTTCTGCATTTTCAACCCTCCCTAGTCCTCTTAATGCTTGAATTAATACATATTTAAAAATAACGTTGATGAATAACTTCTAGAATAAATCTGACAAGTACGTTAAAAGTCACGCATTCCTTTCAAATCTCGTATCCTATTAATATTCAAGTAATCTTTTATGCTGTTAGTATCGTAATTACATTATTTGAGGAAATCGATCACTCGAGCATTGAATTTTCTAGTTAGTTTGGACAAATCGAGATTGTACCGTGTTATCGATAGTAGCGTATCGAGAACCGTGCGAATGCGTGCTGACGATCGAACCCTCGTCGTAGGGTGTGTGTGCGCGCGCACAAAACCACCCCATCGGGTTCCACACCCCCGACGAAAACGTGTTTATCGATCCGGTAACCTCACAAACTGGCGACCGGCTGACATTAAACCGAAAGACGAGACGCACGTGCGAAGACGAGATAAATGAGCGCGTGCAATTACGAAGTGCAACAAAAACGATCTCAATCGAGTGCGCTCGCTCGTGTAATTAATACCAGATACCGTAATTAAGCCGATACCTTATCGCCGTTTCGCAGACACATTTACGAGAGGCCGAATGAACACTCCGAGGAAGTGAGTAGACGAATGTATAAACAGATCAAGCTAAATTCATATCTCGACGCCAACAATCGTGGCAGCGAGAATTTCCTTCGTTTCCTTAATTCTGCATAGTTTCCTTTCCTGCTTTCGACTGAGATAGAGACGACCTGCTGTCAACGTATAAACTCCGAAACCTGCCCCTGACGTAAGACCGCAAGATCGGCCATCAGATTAGCGTGACGTGCGAAGAATAAGAATAAAAATGTGGGAAGTAGAATTTGCAAGCCGCGATAAAGTTACACCGGAAATGTTAACCGCAGTTGTCTGTCGTGTACGGAATACTTTATTTTCTCATCATCTACGAACTGCTCGATTCCATAATCGAGTGTTAGCACGTGCAATTGGACGAAATATCATAGGCCTATTCATTTTAGCTGAACTTCTTGCACAGTTCATCTTTTCTTCTTTACTTTTTTTCTCCAACGTGATAAAAAAAAAAAGATGAAAGATGAACCGTGCAAGAAGTTCAGCTGAAACGAACAGGCCTCATATTTACGTGTCTCGTGGTGAAGTCTCATATGAAAACTGATAATGTGACGAAATCGAATGTGCAATCCGATATTTATGTGGAATAGTTGAACGACCAATTGTAAGTAGGTCAGGGAAAGGCGTGTACCTTCGTGTAAACCCGTACTACCTGTTTGATAGGCTACAGGCGTATATGCGGAATGTGCGAGAGGGAATAGTCCTTTAGAATACAAGACTCTCGATCCAAAAAGAATTGAGTATACCGCATGATATTGTGGGAACGTAACAGTGATTTTCTTACGTTCTTCAAGAATTTGAGAAGAGCTACATATGTCAAATCAGACAAGTAATTTCACGCTTCGTTGAAGCTGCGCGAGGTATCATTTCAAACGAGTAGTTCCAGTACCGGCAGTCGAATCTGTTGGACAGGCATACAGTGCTCCAGATAAATCGCTGTTGTCAGCTTTAGACGACCAAATAAACGGGGCGCGCGCAATTTATGCCGGCGATAAATCCGCAATAATTGGATCGTCGCAAAAAGTTCCAGAAAATAAGAAAAATATGTATATATCGTTCTCGGACGATTGCGACTTTCGAGTTAATACGGCGCGACGATATATTATGCCGAATCAGATGATCGCTGGCTCCGCATGACGCCATTCGAGTGATTTCAACAATGCGCGCTCGTTTTTCTCCATATCTCTCTCTCTCTCTCTCTCTCTCTCTCTTTCTTTCTTCCCCTCTCGCGAGTCATCTCGCACCTCGATTCGCGGACCGCCAATTTATCTTCTCAATCCGCGTACGCCGAAATGTGCTGCCGAGAAAGGAAAGCACGTATGTACACCCGAGTGCATTAACCCGGCTACCGGAGGGATGCATCGCACTATGTCATCCTGACGCACGTTCTGAGTGTAAACCCGCGGAGTTAATGCACTCGACTGTATCACCTGCTCCACCGTACATCATAGTAATTACGCGAATAACGTGGAATTCATTCGTTAGTGCCCTCGGCGAAAGACGGCGAATCAAACCAGTTTGTGTTAACGAACGCGCGTAAAAAGCGCGGTGTTCCATTCGCGATCATTATAAGAGCGTACCGGGCATAAAGAGAAATCTTTATCTCTGGCTTTGGTATAACTACGGAATCTATATTCGGTTCTTACTGGCGTTAAGAGACGTTTCTACGATTATTAAAAACGCGTGCCCATTTAAAGCAGAATCTCCGAGATTATCTTCAACGCGATGCAAACGTAAATTGGGAGGTTAGCGCGCATTCTTCGGTGTATATTATGAACAGTGGAGTATGCTTGTGCTGTGAATGGACTTTTAATTATTGCACGAATAATAAACGAAGAATTACTTCGTTTTACGTCTGTAAAAAAGCTAGAATTGTGCATTCAGCTTATCGTAAACCTGTAATGTAACGCATATCCATTTTTTAATAAGAGGTTTTAAGTGCTTCAAGAATAACCTAATCAATTAGGTATGTGCAAAATATTATAGTACGCGCATTGAATTTCGCAGTTTTAAAATGTTTTCCCGATGCGCAAAATATCTAGAACATAAACAGCGATATCAAAGGACTTGCAAGAGCGCGAGTGAAAATAATAAATACTGTTTGGTATGAGATGAGTCTTGCAATCATGCCGGAAATGTAATGCATTCCAAATTCCAATACATCCGTCCAACGGTACATTAGTAGGACGATACCGAAAGTTTCTCTTCTCTCTCTTTCGCGCGCGAAGACTTAACTCTCGATGCATATCGCCTTGTTTACAAAACGTGAAGAGTGTCATACCCGAGTGACTTGCCGCGTATCGGCTAGACGATTAATACCGAGTACTGTTATGCTGCAGAGAACTTTCCTGGTAGTTCGATAACTTTACGCCGAAGCGGACGAAGGATATTATTGATCTCTCATCCGCATTCCGCGACATGAGTGCGTACTGCGTAACATATAAGTTCTCTTGAAATTATCGACATATCGGACAGGAATACACACTAAAATACGTTGAAATAAAGTTAAATTCTTCTTCGGTATTTTGAAACTCGCAACGTTCTACCCTTATTTACAAACATATATCCTTGTACACATTTCTAACGGTAGAAATCTTTTCCAGTAATATCTGATCAATCTAACTGTTCCGTTGAAGTGATAAGTACCTATTTCTAAAACTACTACAAAATATGTAGTTATAAAATTTATTTTTAAATAACATTCGTGTTTTTTGCCGTAAGTGAAAATAATATGTTTATTTTTAATTTTCAATAATCGTATACAAATGTAGCGTGAAAAGAAAAGACAGAAATTTCATGAACAATTTTCAGAACATTGCTTGACACTAGTAAACTTTTTATTCTATTTATGATATAAGAGAAAGTTTACAATGATCAATTTTTATACGTTTGTAATGCATTATAAAAACAAATGTAAACAAAATTAATTTTTATCAATCTCCCCACTTTACTTATTCAGTTAATCTATTTACTATGAATAGAAAAATCATGGTTCGTAAAAACTATTCGTGTTTAAGAAATAAAACTATTTAAGAAATAAAATTAATTTTCAAATAAATCGTCGATGTAATTGAAGTTATAGAAAAATTGATAAAAGTATTAAACTTGAATTTTTCAGTAGGACAATACGTAAACTCAAATATATGAATAAATACAAAAAAAACTATAAAAAATTATTATCACTAAAAAAAACTCAATTTTTCTTACATAAGAACCCGCTTCGTGATGGCAGAAAAAACTAACAACCTATACAGCGCCCGACTCCGTAATGTGCGTAGGAGACTTTTTCAAGACGATGGTGACAACGACGAGCAACAGAAGCATAAGGACATTGAAAACCGTTTTTCGGAAGAGAGGCGAATACAATTGGAACAGGTAAAAAGCAAAATAAACGATTCTTCTTTATTAAGTCAAATTTAAACGATTGTTAAAATTATTTCTCGTCACGATTACGTAATTATCGATAAAGTTATTTTACGCGAAATATTGCAGAGATTAGACACCGATTAAAGTGGTCTAAAACTGAAATGCTTATTGATGTGTAGAGCATGGAGAAGTGGAACTTCGACTTCGTGCGCGGAGAACCACGACCCGGTCGCTACGAATGGGTAAAACTCGACGAACAAGGAAATGAAATTTCTGAATCCAAGGAGACAAATGGGAGAATAAGTGCGGAGGAAGCATCAGAAAACAACGTGGAACAAATCGATGGATGAAACGATCGAAGCGGCAAAAGAATCAAATTGTGATATTATTTATTGATAGAAAATAAGCAAGATTTAACATCATATTTTTTCGAGCATGAAAAGACTACGTAAATTTTTAATTGTATAATACGTAAATAATTTTTCATGAATAATGAAAACTATATTTATAAATTCTTTTTAAAAGTTTAGAACGATTTTTTTTATATGAGTAGGAAGAGTAATAAGTGCAAAGTCTTATAAGCAAAAGTATTTATTATTTAATTATATTTAAAATGGCAATTTGTAAATTGGACTTTATAAATTGGCGGTTTATTTTAATTGATCAACTCTTAAGTTTCTAGTCAAAAGAGGCATGATGTCAAACATGTCTCCAAGAAACCAAAGCTAAATTTTTAATTTTATTTAACTTATTGACAAATCAGAAAACACACACACAAACAACCTGAATCATGCATTTGGTGTCTAATTAATTTTATCTATATTAGTTTCACAACATGACATTATTCATTTTAATATTCATGGAAACAAATGTGCAATACACGTTATTATACTCAATCGATATTTTTAGTACTTCGGAGTACACAATAATCGGGCAGCTTAGGAGAAAGAAATTTGTATAAAAATATACATAACATGAAATTATATGAAATTATAAAATAATTGAGTATTTTAATATATCTGTTTCCTTTTCCCTTTTTTCTTACTTTAATGCGTATAATAATGAAAAAAGAATAGTTATATGCGCTTGGCAATTCTGATTATACGGAAGTTATGCGTGACCTAATTTATACTATGCTAAGCTGAAACATCTGCCTCGCGACGAGCAAATATCTTGTAGCATTTGTAGCAAGGCATCTGTAGTATTGTAGAGAAGAAAAATCAGTCTTAAATATAGTATTTTTTCCAGTATTCGGAACGCAATTCGCAAAAATCTCGTTTATCAATTACAGATTAAATGCTACACTATCACAACTGTGAATCGCCTTTAATTATTGTTTATCTATTTTCCCTCATATAAAACATTCGCCGTACGAGAGTTGATACCACGAGTATCAAGACTTCGTTGAAATAATCCAGAGTACTTGCCGTGAGAAGGCGCGAGAATGCGCGTTGCACCTGGCATCATTTCTTTAAAGATCGTTTTTTCTTCGCGCTGCTCCGCCATGGAAGCTGGCCACCACGGCAGTACCAGCCAGAAATTGCACTTCCGTTCCGCGAATTCCCACGGAAGTGGGCACAATCGCGACGACGACAAAGGATATTTGCCGCACAAGGTATACCACACACATTATTCTGACCGAGCATTGAGAATCCTTCCGATAAAGAACCTTCCGCGAACGAATCACGATCACAGATGTTCAAAGGAAGAAATTTTCGAATATTTATACATGTTTCTCGCGTTATGAGTATTTTCGCGTAGTCGTAAAAAAAAAACAAACGTTTCAGCGAACGTCAATCAAAGTTGACTGAAGTTTAACCGAGCCCAATTCTTAAACAGTTGGTTTAACGTCGTCGATCTGACGTATACGTAAACTGACCGATTTATCGCTGCTCGGCATGAAACATTTATCTCGCCAGACACCGGCGTGTCTCGGAGGAAAGTAGGCTTCTCGCATCTCGGAACAGTGCACCCGTTCTCAACCTCGATCTCGATTCACCACCTTGAGCTCGATAAAGGTGATTTATCGCGGCTGCAGCTTTGTCCCCGTTGTCGCTAGCACGCGATGAGATAACGCGGCGACGGCGGCTTCAGGTAAGAGTCCGGCTTTGATAGCGAAATGATGAAACAGGTGACTCTCTTTCGGTGGTAAACACGCGATGCAGATGCGGCTATGCGCCTTCCGGTCGCGCGCCTCGCCTGCGAATAAACACCAACTTCCTTCGAAAATAATCTGGCTGACTTACGAACACACATGTGCGATATCCATGCGTTATCCATGAGACGAGAAATGTTTGTTTTTTTTTAATCGTCAGTAATCGACGCAACGACACGTACACGTCTAAAGCTGCATAAATAACACTTTGTCGACGGCTACGTCCAATAACATAGTGGTAAATTAAATAATCTTTCGACAATTCTACCCGAAACTACTGAACATTAAAAACGGAAACGTAACGAGAAAAGCGATTAAATTAATTATTGCATTCCGCGCAGTAGTTTGAACATCATCATAAATCTCTTCGATTATCCACCAAATTCGCTGAGAAACCTGTCAACGTTATCTCGCAACAAATATCGCAGGAAGCAGATAATAGACCTTTCGCTTTATTGTGGGTTACAAAGCGCGACCTGTGCAACCAGACACCTCGCTGAAATGCACTCCTGCGGTGGACAATGAATGAGAGACGGTGGTCTCTCTGCGCAAAAACGCAGAAAGAATTGTTTTACGCGAGGCCCGTTCGCCCGTCTCCCCTCATTGAAATGCATCCGGTGTCACCCCTCACCACTTCCTGGATGCTGCGTGGGATTTTGTTTCCCCGGAGCACAGCGCGCTGCACCGACGCCAGGTTTGCGCGTCGTGGCCTTCCCCATTCAGAATCTTAATTAAAGATAACCCTAATTAAAGACAATACGCAAAAGAAATAGCTTTTACACAATTTTTTTTTATCCCTGTAGAATGCAAGATTATTTTGCATATTATGGATTCTTGAAAACGATATGCATGACGACTCGATGGACATTTTCCGCTACGTTTAATCGTTAATCGAGCCGGGATACCGTGTGGGAAAAAAATAGCATCCTCAACTCACGTTTGAATATTCGAAATATTCGCGCCACGTTATGGCGGCGTGCGAGCAAGTCGTACACACGCGCAGATACACGTACACACACGCCAGCAAGATTGAATGCCGGGCCGCGTGGCAAACTCTCTCTCCAATTGGACTCCGGGATCGTTTATCTACGCTTCGCTCGTCGCGAGTTGCGCCGCGCCGACTCGCCGAGCGTCGCGTCGGCGAGCGCGCGGAGCTGTTTCCCGTAGGTGTCCCCTCGCGTGCCGCGTGCGAGACGAGCACAATGGAGTAAATTGACAATTATCAATGAAAAGTCTCGATTCGTCCCGTTGATTTTATGTCATCGCACTCGGCGCCGTGACGCGCGCACAATCGTCATGAAGCGCTGTAGTTTCGCGCGCACAGAATCGAACGAAGTGTCGCGTTCGAAAGATCAAAAAACGACAGAGAACTTTTGTTCTAGATTTTATGAATTAAAACTTTCAAATTTCCTTCTATAAATCGATTCCCGCGACTCCGACTAGGTACTCTAGAGGAAAATCGTTTAATATTTTCGCTATCAAGAGTTTTAAACTCTAAAATGATCAAGCTACCATTTTGAACCGTTGTTGACGTTAAGCAATCTAAAATATGAATAATTAAATCAATCGAGATTGATTTCGGCAGTGAATGCTAATAATCGAATCACCAACATTTAACATTATGTAAATATGATGGCGTATCAAATTGATACGCGACTACTTATAATACATTTTCTCGAAAAACCTGCAGCGAGAACTTTTCTTATATACTTCCTCCCGCGTCGAATCAGAGGGATTTAACAAAATTATGATAACGCCGTCTTATGTTCAATGTAACAATCCTTCAAACTGCGCGTGGTGAGTCTATCACGCTGTATTAAACGTCGGCGATAATCCGAGTGGTATGCAAATAAATTCACCGTGCGTAACGCGTCGCGTCGTGCAAACACGAGAATCTACCGAATATACGCACGCGATAAGATTGCGTCGCGTTGTTTTGGAGACTGGACCTATTTATTTTTCGTTCCCCACCGGGTTACCGCGTTCCCCGTTGGAAGGGGGACGCGCCGCTGCTATCCGCGAGCGGCGCGAGCACGAGTGCGTGAAGGACAATTAAAACGACGAATTAAGGGCACAATTAAATTAATTTGACACGTCCGACGACATTTTCGATCCCGATCCTGTACGTGGCCTCATTTAATTACATCACGGAGCGAGAAACGTGAATGAAAGGCGCAAGAAAGAGTATATATCTCTCTCACGTGACGATATCTCTCTATTGTAAAATAATCGAGAAATTGAAATTAGTGATAATTCTATGACAAAATAAAAAACAAATTCAATTTTTTTTTTCCAAAAGAAAAATCGTCGCGTCGTCGCGAGATCTAGATAGTTTTTCATTAGTGTTCTCGTAATGTCGTTCCCTCGAGTAATCCCATTAAGAATCCGACCCAACGAGTCCTCAAATTTCGTCCCCCCAAAGTCTGAAAGCTGGAATATTGGAGCAGGAGCAGAGATCGCGATTGGTATTCCGCTTGTGGCCGTGCTCTCCCATGCCATGGTAGGGGCCGATAACTGTACAATCTTTCCGCACGCGGTTCGCGTTCGCACGGGACGAGTCCGACCGTACGCGCAGTCAGGTCGAGGGGACTATACGTTGCGAATGGCGGTTATTTCGTTTCTCCGCTCGCCGCGTGATTGGCCTCACAGTGGTGGTGGCGGCGGCGGCGCAGAGGAGGGAGGGGAGAGCCGCCGAGCCGAGCCGCGGCGGAGAATGCCGAGCTCGCGGGAGGCTCGGTTGCTCGCAATGAGAGAAGCACGCTTCAGTCGCTAGAGAGCGCTTTCCGTGTTAGCTACGTGTCTTTGCGCAGCTCCGTGAGCCGCAGATCACGCACGGGTTATATCGTCGTGTACGACGTCACGTAACTGCGCAATCGTGCCTCGCACGTCCTTCCAGCCCCCGGTGGGCCACGCGCGTGCCTTGACAGTCGCGTTTGTTTGGCGGGAAACGACGAGGCGTGCTCTTATTATCCGTGCTTATTTACGCGCGGTGTCAGAGGCGAGCTCGGTTGGCGAGTACGGTTGGACTCCCCCACCGCCGATCGGCATATTGCTGCGGGCCGTGTGCAATAACATTTTTCTATGGAATTTCCTCGCGCCAAGACTACTGACTGCGTTATCGCGTTTCGGCTGTGAGTGGCAGTGTCTCGTGCGGGAGTGCGAGACGCGGAGAACGAGAGAGAAAGAGGAAGAAGGAAAGAGAGAGAGGGACAGAGATAGACAGATCGGCTCGCGTCACGGACGATCGCCACGATAGACGACGAAATTCGCGCGGGATACGTCGTAACACGCTCTCTCGCCGTCGCTCGGATACTCACGCGCAAGTGCGGCCGCGCGACGTTGCCAGATCGTCGACCGGAGGCTACGCCGAAGGAGAATCGTCTTGCGTGTTGCGCGACTTGTGAGGAGAGTGAACCGCGGGATACGAGATAGTGTTGGACCGTAAGCGGGGTATTTTGGAGCTTCTCCACGGTGGCCTTGACTGTTCGGGACAGCCCGGTGCGGTGCAGCGGAATCGCCTCTCGCGCGCGCGAGGCGGAGTTTGTTTTCGCCGCCGCGCTATCTTTGTCTGGCACATAGTAACCGTGTGTGTGTCCCCGCCACCCTTCCCCGTGTTGCCAAGCGCGGCTGCTGTTTGCCGTGCACGCGTCGCCCTATGATCCACGCTTCCCCGGGCGGGGTACGTGCCGAGGATCATCATCGTCGTTGCCTATCGCGACGAGCGTCACCGTCGGGGGACGTCGCGCGACCATCACGCCGGCGAGGACGCGGATCTGAGGGAGAAGAGAAGCGGCGCCTTGGTCAACGCTCGGCGGCGGCGGCGGCAGCAGCGCGGCCATTATTCGAAATTCGGTGGGTCGCGCCACGAATCGCGGCGTTGCCACGTTCCCGTCCGCGGTGCGTAGCCGCGATTATTTCAACGTCCCACGACGACGGGGCCGTGGCGGCGGCAGCGGGGACGCGATTCCTGGAAGGAGTCATCATCGTTCCCGCGTCACGGCCAATGCTAGAAGAAGCGATCTCTTATCTCGCGTAGCGCGTGTCACAACTCTCTCGATAGTGCAGTGAGTGAAGGGAGGGGAGTGAGAGAGAACGAGAAAGAGAGAAAGCAAGGACGGAAGAAGAATAGGAAGAGAGAAAGACAGCGGGTGCTTGTTCCTTATCTGTCAATTTTTCGCGCCCACGGACTTTTTCGGTGCTGTTCGTTTACTGGAAACGGCGCGTAAACGTTTGCCGTTGTGCTGCGGAACGCGGCGGCGATAGAGCGCGACGAAATATGAGCGCACGAGTGCTGAACCCGGCGATGATGACGGAAATAAGCAGGAACCTAGGCGGCGGCAGCGGTAGCGGAGGCGGAGGCGGACGAGCGGCGCCGAGCAGGGCCGCGCTCGCCCGCGTGCGACGCGATCTCTTCGGGCCGGTGGACCACGCGGCGGCTCGGGCGCTCGCCGAGCGCGAATTGCGGGCCCAATCGTTGCTCGATGCCGATCGATGGGGCTTCAACTTTCAGCTGGGTGTCCCGCGATCGAACTCGCGTTACGAGTGGGAGCCGTTGACGGAGCACGACATCGTGCCCGAGCCCTACGCCCTGCGCGGCATGCCGTATCTGAGGAAACACGCGCCCGGCACCCCGCGCAAGCTGCGCTTCGACGAGACGGCGTCGACCACCACCGCCTCCTCCTCGACGTCCCCGTCGTCACCGTCCACGGCGGCGGCAGCGACGACGACGACGACGACGATGACAGCGACGACGTCGTTGACAGCGATGATGACCACGATGACCGCGATGACGAGCGCGAGGATCGCCGAGCAAATGGAGACCGTCGTCGCCACGCCGACGGCCGAGAGGACGCCGCCGCAGGAGCCGCGAGTGCCCGAGATCGGCGAAGCCACGACGCCCAATCAACTCCTGGACGCGGAGCCTAAGAGGAAGAGATGCGCGATAGAGCCGTCCACCCCCGTCCTGCCCCATGCGGCGAGGAAACAGTCCACGATCACCGGTGAGTCTCTCTCTCTCTCTCTCGCGTATTCGTTTTACGCCGCTGAATAAGTCGAGATAGCGCGCAATAAACTCGCTGTTTTCGATATTTCCTTATTTTTTCGGCGATAACGCGTGTTTTCATTCAACTTCCGACAATTTTAACGGATACGGACGCCACATTTTGCCACTTGGCGCCTCGATTTCGATGTTGTGAAACGCTTTGAGGAAAAAAAGATCTAGATACCGCGGCGAAATACAGCTGATAAAAACTGTTAACGGCGCCCGAGGCGTACGTTCGCCTCTCTGGGCAATATGGGATCTCCGTCCGATTATATAAATGCACTCGGGCGCGATGTTTGTTTTCGGAATCTGTTTGGTCCGCTCGCGTACGAAATTAACGCTATCGTTATCAACACGACGATATATTCGCTCGATCGGCGGCTGCAGATTATTCCGATGAAATCACGCGTGTCGCGGTTCACGGCGATGCAACGCGACGCGCGCGGCATATTTCGCCTCCGATCGCCTAGCGTATCTTTGGTTTTCACGCCTCTAATCTGCTCGTAACTCACATCGCGCATATCTTCTAAAGCCAGAAGCTTCGGGCGTGATAAAGTTTGTTTACACCTGTATATTGTATTATGCACGTTTGGACGCGCCAAACGATCGAGAGGAAAATAATTCGCATTGTTTTCACGTCGGGGTTCACGCTTCTCGCCAAATTCACACAAATATTATCAGCATGCCTTCATCGATCATTTGCTCGACGGTCTTGTCAGAATCTTGTTAGAGGGAATTAGTTCCATCGCTAATTTTGGAACATTAATCATCTGCTCTAAAAATAACTAGATGGGACTTTGGATTTTTAATTTTAAAACATTGTTAACAAAAGAACAATAGAATAAGGACGTGCAAAAGTTATCCTACAGTCGGCTACAAAGCAGACTTTTATGGAAAGATGCGATTCGTTGCTCGCGTGCTCGCTTCCGCAGTACGGAGTTATAATATTTATAATTTTATACGTCGTATATATTGTACGATTGTACGAATCGCAGATTAATTTTATACCGAAAGATAGCCGACATTTAAATAAAGTTTATCGCGGTTAATTTGCTCGATGTATTTATGTAGGAAGCGGCGTTGCCTAGGTCAATCCAATTCGTTCGCTGGAAGGTCGTCACAATTCGCGCATAATTACGTCAGCACCTGATAATAACGAGAATTGCGTTTGCATTTCGTTGCTCGTGTATTTCGAAATATTATCAGCGTTACTTACTGTTGGTCATTTTTGCATATGGATGGACAAAACGTCGAGAGTGTAGATTTGAACCGGCACTTGGGTGACAAAAATTAATAGCGGTTCTTGTCGAAGAACACTTATACCTCACACGATATTCCATATTATTCATATCTTTGTATAACGTTTGTATAATGGTAATGTATCTTTGCATAACAATGAACAAAACGACGGGAAGTTTCATTTGAACTAATTTTCAAATTTTATTTTCCCTAGTCTCTGGATATTTATACGTAGGCAACATTACGTTTCAACGTTTTGTATGTAGAGCGCACGATCATTTTCTTGCTTTACGTGTCAATAAAACCTGAATTCTGCTGACGAAACGCGACATATTATCGGAACTATATTATCGCGTGCCGCGATAACGTTGAGAAGAGGCCTTGATAATATATAAAAACATTTTTTTTTATTCACGGATAAGCGAAATCGTTCGTCCGTCTACACCGCGAGCGATGACACAATCAAAATAATAGTGCATTAGATGTTTACGTCAATAATAAATGGCGCAAATCCCATTTTGAGATAACATAACAAAGTAAAACGGACGCGATAAGTTCATGCGATGTACGTAACGGTGTTCAAATTGTTTTTTATTAAAAATTGTAAAATAAATTCGATAAACTTGACCTCATGTTGCTTTCGAAACAAATAAGGTAAATGCCGGGTTATTTAAGACCTATGTCCGGACATCTTTATTATTTTAGTTTTTAACCCTTAAATGCCCCCTGGGGTCCGGTAGACCCCAGACCCTTTACAATGATATATTTTCAAACAATATTGAAAACTAAAGATAAAAAAATCAATGAGTAAGGAGACATTTTTCATGCTGGGGTCTTTTAGACCCCTCATGTCATTTACGAGATTCTTGAGAGGTGTGGCATTTAAGGGTTAAATAAGTATACCGCGAATTAAAATCAAAGAAAAATATTTTTATCGTTGATTCTTTAATTTTAATTCGCGTTTTAACTTATTTAAGGACTGAAATGATAAAAATGTCCAGACATATGTACGTGTCTAGGCATTGGTACATTTACCTCGTACCATTATTCGTCGAGAGAAGCGCGACGAGGATGCACTTGCAATAACATTTGCAAGGAAGTTACTCGAGACGGAAGAAACGGTATCGGTAATCATAATTGCATACACGATCCACCCGTACACGTGTTATCACTCTCGCGCACCAAATTATCGTTTTGCTGACGCTTTATATATTCACACGCGAGCGATGTGTATCATTAACGATTTGCAATGTTAATTTTGAGCTTAATCGCCGTTCTTTGGAAATTTGTTTGATAACGATTAATCGATTGTGCCAAGATGAGAAGAGATTGAGTCAATACATAATTGAGCGACACAACGATTAAGACGATAAGCATCGATCCGCTTTATGAAGAAAAAAAAGGAAGAACTTAGTAACTAATTAAATTGTTTATTTTCAACTTGCTTGTCGCACGCAAAAACTGCAATATTCGAAATTTTTTCAATTAAACATTACCTAAATTTCAATAACGATAAATCATGATAACTCAAAATAGATAACTCATAACTATTTACGAGTCAAACAAAATGTATAGCGCAACCAGAAAAGAAACCTATCAACATTAAATTAGTATAAATTAATATGAATAGCGTTAAGTGATAAATCTTTATAATTAGAAAAATTGAACTCGAATGTAAAAAAAAAATAGTAAAGTCAAAAGTAGTGAAAAGACGTTCCTATTCGGAATTACAATGGAAATTATACGATTTCGAAGAAACTTTAATTTCCGTGCACATCGCGTGTGTTTGCAACACAGCCATCTTATCGAAGTTGTAAAACCTCACGGTTCTACCTTTTTTCTTTCATTTATTTTTCGGCCATGCACACCACCCACGCGACGCAACTATTTCTGGACGTGACTCGGCATGTGTCGCGCACGCGTGTACACGCGTGTAAACACATTTCACACGTTGCGCCAGCACGCGACGCCTTTGTTTATATTTTCACTGCAACGCGAAAAAGTGAAACTGCGCCACTTATAGTGCAAATCGACGGAGAAACGTTCATCCGCGCTTACCGTCACGTTCATGACGCATCGATACTTTATTTCATCTCGTTTATCTTTTCGAGTAAAAGACCAAGTGCTAATTCAAAGTATCTTCAAACAATACCAGATATTAATCCGAGGTCAGTATTCGGTTCCTGCGCCATGAAAACTTCGTTATTTAAACGGCCGTTTTTCTTAGTTCGTCTTTCGCTATCTGGAAAGGAAGTGCGCGACTTCCGGGGCATCGTGTACACACGTGTTAGATTGGATGGGAATGGATTGGGTTTCCTATCTGCGCCACTTAATTCATTCGAGGAAGTAACGAGTTCGTAACGTATTTTGCTTTACGGGGATACCCAGCTATGGGGGCGCCGAACGATATTCCTAACGTACTTTATTAATGAGCCGCGCGGTCAGCTGTTGAAATCCATATGGGGTTGCTGGCCCCGAGTGCACCCCCATGTCTTTCCCCTCTCACTCTCCCCCATTTCGGGGGCCCTTTGTATCTCCCGCGTGACGCGTGTACGTCGAGTGTTTGCACGCGTGGCGGGGGGGGGCATCAGCTGTGCACGCAATCGCGTGCCCCTGTCTACGAACCCCAGGGGCGGCAGACGGATCGTTGGCGAAAAGGATCGGCATTTAAAATCAGGATTAGCGCCCGCATATCTCGTCGTAGATATAATTTAAAGCATCGTGCAGAGAAATTATTGTGGAACCCCCCTATCGATTCGGTTTCTTATTTGGTAACTTTCGAATCCTGAAGAATCCGCGGTAACGCTATTTAAGTTCGTTTGCTGATTGGAAAAGATATATAGGTTTCTGAATTTCGGGACAGAGGTCTTTAAACTCTGTAACATTCGTAATATAGCATAAATATAACAATAAATAAATGTGCATCAAAATATTTTAAATAATAACTTGAAAATAATTTTAATTTAAATAATAAGGATAATGGTAGAGGAACATGAAACGTAGATGGCCGTGCAATTTTCATAATTTTTGTCACGTGGCTCGGCAGACGACCCAACAATGGTACGGGGGAGGGAGGTAGAGAATTGGACAGATGCACATATTTTTCATCGCGTGGAAACTTCGCCAAATGGTATTCTAAAGTCTAAAGGGGTGCCTTTGTATAACCTTTGGGGTATCACGCCTGCATATCGATTTGTGAGTCACGATCAGCGAGCTTCTTTCCGACAGTTATTTTTGTTCAAAACTTGTAGTGACTTCCATAAAGTTTTTGTATAATTTTTATGTATAATCATAGAAAGTAAAATTTTATATTTTAAAGATTCAAATATCCATTATACCTTTCGAGCACTCGATCGTATCTTAAACATTTTTAATCGCAGATGTCACGAGCCTAATTCGATACGCGGTAACGAAAATATTTGTCTGAGAATTGCAACTGAGTTTGAGCGTGCAATAAAAACAATATAAAAACCTGACCTTACGCTCTTATCTTCTGATATAATTAGCGGGTACGGTGCGATATAATATTCCGAAGGTTATCAGAGAGGAAAGATTTTGCATGCATACGGTCGGGAGTAAGCTGGATTGTGCATAAGGTCAGGCGTGGCATTGCATGCGATCATAAAAAATCAAAGCCAAATGATAAGCTGCGAATTATTTACGCTGTCCGCCAGATGCGTTCCGAGACACTTCAACTCACTCCAGATGCAATGTATATTGATAAATATTATATGATAAATATATTGATAAATAGAAGTAAATATTAGAGAGGAACTATATATAACAAATGATATAATAAATACAATATAATAAATAATAAAAGAACCATGTATAATAAATAATATTAATACTTTTATAAGATCATATAATAATTACGAAATTACTGTAAAATTTATAGGATGTCTTATATGCGACTAAGATGTTTTACTATACGCTTTGAACAGTTGACCAGAGACTCTCTTATATTAGAAATTAAACGTTACTCAAATAAGTTCCTCTTTAGACTGTACTCAACTACTTCTTTGACGATCTTTTGTCGCCTCGGTTGTGTAAAGACATGCTTTTTTCATTGTCTGTTCCAGATTACATGAAGAGTCGTAAGCGCGGCCTAAATGGCACAAAGAGCATGATAGAGCCACCGGAGAAGATCGCTCGCAACGCGGGTCAGATACGCAGCTAAAAAGCCTTCAACTTTCTTATTCGAACTTCGTCTTCTTCCACCACGTTCGTATACAACGCGAGACAGTACTGGAAGTGGGAAACTGCAACCGGCGTGTGGAATAACGGGGAAAGAAGAAGGCAGGGACTCGGACAGGAGGCGCGAGGTCCGCGTTGGCTGTGCCATTCAATATAGTTTTATCTGTCATGAGCACAGGCGAAACAGACGGAAATGGATGAATAAAAAGAAGAGAAAAAATGAAAAAAGTCTATTAGAAACGGGAAAGTAACGCCGTTCTCCATCACGTGTATCTTCGTCTGTAATACCGCGTATAGCTTTGTAATACCGCGAGGATTATGAGAATAGTAGCAACAATCAAGAAAGGGCAATGAGACGTATAAGATAGAGAAACGAAAAGAAAACGGAAGACGCTTGGTGGGGAAGAAGAGAGAGAGAAAGAGAATATGACTCTCGTCGCTATTTTTTTATAATACGTGTCACATTTTTTTCTGTATTAGAATATAGAGTAAGTAATACTAAGGAAGATATAAAAATTAGATTGTAGATAAAGTAATATGATTTGTGTCCAAATTAATTAATGTAATATATTCTTTGTTTGTTTCTGAAAACGTTCGTAGAAAAATGTTTAAACAATGTCGTTACACAAACACGTTATATGAGAGAAATAGAATGTGTGTGTGTGAGTGAGTGTGAGAGTGAGAAAGAGAGGGAGGGAGGGAGAGAGAGAAGCTAAGAAATACATGCAAGTTTATATAGGCTATTCTCATAGGAATTAGTTGATTAGATACTAAGATATAGAACAGAGTATATCGCGTGTATTCATTGGATCTAATTGAAGGGGATGCTTGAGCTGGTCCATGGAATTTCGGTACTTGCGATTGCTGCGTTCTAACCCGGTGATGAAATTCTATCGCTGTGAAGATATTAAAATTCTATTTGAAAATAGTCTTGTGGCGGATATCGCGCCAGTTTCGACGCCGGGTCTTTGAAACGTGCGCGATATTTCAAAGCGATTTCGAATTTCCAAATTAAAAAGTTTTAGAAGCCTTTATTTGGAATTCTCAAATCGAATGTTTTTCAGTTTTTGTGAAAATCTGAAGAAGAAAAGTGCAAAAGAGCGGTTGCGATTCCGTGGCCAGAATGCGACCAGCTTTAAGGAAGAAAAGATATATGATTTAGCTGTAGTTCGTTACCCAAGTTTAAGCATTGATCTCCTGTACGATTTTAAGGAAGTACAGCCGATGCCAAATCACCCCGTGATTTTTTCTTCTCTACCTATTAAATACAGAAAAAAAAGAAGATCCGTCATTTCCTTTCTCCCTTTTCCCCTTTGTCCCCATATCGCATTTATTTCCGGCAGATAATGCGAGAGGCACATAATCGTCGTAATCGTCACAGTTTTTATGGAAAAACATAAGTTTGATATTTCCTCTTTCATACAATTCTCATTTCTTTTACGTTGCGAATTAAAATAGCGAACTTTTTTTTAACATTTTAACGTGACTTTCGATTAAAAATTGGATTCTTCGGTTTCGCCACAATATTCTCTTGAAAATTTATTTAGACACTGCTTTAACTATTCTATAATTTTCCGCGTTTCAATTGATTCAGACAAATGTAACAGCTTACATAAAAATCTATGACTTTGAACTACGATTGATTAAACGTAAAGCTAGTAGAAAGCTTTTTAGAGATTTAACCTAATCTAATCTTGAAAAAAGAAAACATACTCGATGATTCTGGTATAATATCTTCGTCAAGAATGTTGAATTAATCACAATGGCATTAACCTTTTGTCAGTCACATAATATATCTATTATCTCAAGAGGAAATGAATTTCTTTCATGATGATATATAAATTAAAAAGAAAACAAGTTGTGTGCGCCAGAAACCAAACTTCTAGCTTATCTAACAAGAGGTTAATAGCTTGCAAATTTTTATTTTCGTAATTGATAATTACGAAGAGAAGCATCATTTCCTTTAGGACAGGCATCATTGAGACCAAGAATAAAGCATTTCACAGTGTGGAAGGATTCCAGTGCAAATAGCGAAGCGAGCGTTTATTTCGTTCGTCGACAACGAATTTATGAAGCATAAAATATTAGTGTACTCTATCTAATTGTATATTAATTGACTTTTATAATGGTAGCTGTTTATCATACGCGACTTTTTGTTTGTTAACGCCCCTTTAACGCGATCTTCGTCAAATATCCTATCGTATCTTGCTATTCCTGATACTTTTTCCTGTTCGCCATTTCCTTTTTGAGATTATAACCCAAAAATACGACTGGTGGTTACAAGCTATTTTTTTCAAAACCCGCCCGTAACATCGAGCATGTGGGAGAGAAGCGTCGAAAAAAAAATGCAAACAATAAATCAAGATTAAAGTGCGCATTGATAACAATGTTCGTTTTCTTCCGCGCGGAACAGAAAATTCAGAGTTTCACCAAATTCACGAAATAGCAGTTGGATCAGTTGAAAAATAACTATCATTGATTATTATGTTTGCGGCAGATGCGGCACCTCGCGATTTCGGCATTAATGCAGCAAGTCATTGGAAGAAAATCAAGTGAATTTAATCTGGCGATGTTACTGTGGCGTACATCTTTCTGACAATTTTTCTCGATAAGAAAGCAGGATCGTGATACGTTTCAAGTTCTAGTAAAAAGATTATTTACCATCTTTAGTGACATATTGCGAAATTAAATAAAAATAGTGCTTTATACTCTACGGTGTCACCGCTGGATTAAAAAAAAAAAAAAAAAAAACGACTTAGGAATCTTGGAATCTCGTAAGATCTGAGAGAGTCGAGACGCGTGGTGCCTGTCGTGAAGAAAACTAAAAAAATAGCAAAGAGAGAAAAATCTAATGTTTATGTAACCCTGTGATGTATTAGTATGATCTCAGTAAACATAACTTAGCGTGTACTTCTTATCTATAATAATTAGATTATGTATGTATATGCGATAGAAATTGTGACAGACATTTGAAAATTGTCGTGTCGTAGAGTATAAAAATATATAGAAATCACGAATTAGATCGACGATTCCCGATATTTGTGTACGTGTGATATATGCATGAGAGTGTGTGTACGTGCGTGCTGCAGAATGAAGGATGAAAGAGAAAGATAAAACAGAGAGAGGCCACCTAGTGAATCATGCCTCACTTTCAGTCGACACTTATTCGCGATATAAAATTATATATGTGTAACGACAATATTATATTATGTATAATTATATATAAAAAAAAAACTGTAACTATAAGAGAGTCTAAAAAACTAACTAACTAACATAAGTGAATTGTGACCCCAATTGTTTATTAAAAAAAAAAGATCTATCTATATGAGAAGCTTTTATCATTTTCTCTTCCTATATCCTTATCATATCCTTACTCGGATATCTTTCGAAAATTAATATCACTTTTTATAGCGTTTCGTGCAAAACGTGATCTTTTTCGAGCACACAATTTAAAAATATTCTTAACTCGAATGTCAAGTTTCATTACATAAGTTATTGTATATCATTTTTTATCACGAATTATCGCGTGTAGCTGAATATGTAAACCGTTTTTGATACATTCTTTTCACATCTTTTCTTTATCATGGTATTTTAAAAGCAAAAGACAAAAAGAATAAGGCTTTTCGAATTTTGCAACGGAAAAATCTGGATAATAAAATGCATTCCTTCTTAATTTGATCGCAACGCGGTACAAAAAGCTTACAGAATCCAACGATTAAGGAAAATCGTGGCAGGTGCAACTGTACGCGAGTGGAGGTATCTACAAGATCTTGTTCCCGGCAATTCGAGACAGGTGCTCGCGAGACTTTGCTGGTAAGTGATTTCGTTTCACCTTCACGTCCCTTTAGTCGCTGCCCAGAAGCCAATTTTGCGGTTGTAACGGTCGAATTCGTCTGACAAGAAGCACGCAGAGAATCTGACCAATAAAGCCAATAATACAACATCGAATCATATCAACTGTGAAAAATTATGTGTGCATTAACACGATATTCCGCAGAAACGCGATAATAATAATGCACACAACAAGCGGATGTGTTAAGGACATTTCCGTTAGAAAGTACATTACTCCGGCTTGAATTTTAAAAGCTTACTGCTAATCTGCTAATCTCTATTTAAGCTTATTGAAGTAATATTTTATTAAAGATACAGCATCTTCGAAGTTAATGCACATCTCAAAATTTTCAATTTACTTTTTATAACGTATTTAAGACAGTATATTTATAGAATGTATGTTTGTTGAATTTTTTAAATATTTCACATACTTGTACAATATACAATATTTTAACACGACTATAATCAAACTAATAAGAACTATCGCTTGCATCAATTATCGATTTATATTGCAATTGCGTCGCGAATACAATTAGCGGAATAGGTCCAAAGATATCGTTACGAGCACATTCATCGACAACAGAAACGGCATTATAAATATTATAAAGTATAAGCTAGGTTGCACCTCACATCGTCGAATTTGCAAGTAAATTAACGCAAACTGACTGCAAGTCGTTGATGCAAAAAAATCCCGGCACATTGCATATTAACGATATATTCACGGTTCCAGTTTGCGCGATCCTAATTGGATGATCCATTTGCATATCAATCGGCGAGTTTTGCAATCTTTCTGAAATTTATTATATCGTCCGATCGAAATTTTTTTCCGATTTTGGCAACAGCGCGACGTTATATTATGCAATTCCATATTATACAATATTACAGATCGGCGATAATATTGCAATAACAATTGGTTAACTTCTACAAGAAACCAACGCTAGTCTCAACTAATTTAAATTAAAGATATTTATATATTTACATATGTTTATAGTTCATATATAATGGTAAACCTCTCTGAAATGGACTTGGAAAATCGCAAAGGTAACTTGTCCAAAAAGATTAATTCTGTATTTTCAATGTCATCCGCGTCTTTAAACGCGAATCAAGAAGATAAAGTACAAGGCTTAATCTCTTTGTTAATTGTCGAAATCGTGGGCGAGGATAGCACGCGGGCCGCGCGACGTCTATCTCCGCAGTTTCTTTTTCTTTTTTTCGTGTCCCGTGTCCTCGTTGCGGCACGTAGAAACACGCGCGTTCACTGTAGCTATGCTTCTATGCAATCTCTGTTGCTAGGCGCACCTCAGACTCAGCCCACCGGCAATATTTTTAGACGATACGCTCACATGTCGTCACTGATTCTTGAATGAATCAGAGACGGGTCCTATGAACCTGCTTTCTCTCAATGAAAGTATAGTTGTGCTCTATATATTGCCGTCAAAAATGTTTATTAATATATTCATATTTTTCGAATTTCGTATAAATGATTTCCGAAATGACCATCTTTGATGAAAATATTATTTTCAATTTGATTTTTAGTATTTATCGATCGATATTATAAAAATGCGGTAATATAAAATTATATAATGCTAACATACGTATACTGATAATATACAAAAAAATATCTATAGATTTCGTATTTTATGAAATCAATTTATAGATATATACGAAAACACGAATCAGTGAGTGCCTAATTTTTGTCGGAAATGGCAGTTCCGTTACCAAATCTTGTTGCGGGAATCGATGCGTAAAGTTCGGTTCGGTGATGGACACTCGCAAAAATGCGCACGGAAATTGCAGCGTGCACTCGGCTGCATCTCCCGTAATGGGAAATTAATGGGTGGTTAGTCGGAGCGATCCTTTTTACTTGTCGCTACGGTAATGATTCGTCATTATTATATCCAGCGACCTATGCGTATTCACGAATAAAGATCTAGAGTAAAAGTATAGAGTAAAAAAATATGGGATGTTAAATTTTACACGCACGCATACACACACAGATTAAGAGGCGCCCGTTTGTAGATCGCACCGAAGTAGACCGCCTCCTTGGTAAACGCAATATGCACGAGACTTCCGGTTTATTGTACGGCATATGCAGCGCAGAAGATCAAAAAGGATTACAGCAGGATAAACTCGAGCGATATGGAAATAATCGTTCTAAAATTGTCCAACGATTCTAAGGTGATTATCGTGTCATCACGACAAATCTCTAAGTGCAATCTCTGATGCAATTGTCGACTGTTGCTAAGGTCTAGAGAGTCCTCGAAAGAACCTTGACTGATAATTTGGATCTTCCTGTGATTTGCAACCGTTTAAACTAGCAATTTTGTAGCGTTTTGTGAAAGAGAAGCAGGATGACACGTATTTTAGATACATTGTAGATTAATTATGTTGATAATAGCTAAAAATAGGTAATGTATTTTCTTAACGAATTGATATTTAATGAATCTGAAGAAAGAATACGATATTTTATTTTAAACACGACAACGTGATTAAAGTAGATTTTACAAATTATGAACTTTCCTTAGTGGTATAAAAAAAAGCACGTTGCACCAGTGACCAGATTATCTGCGTGTAATAATTCGCGACTGGTTTATGCCGCGTGCGATTACGGTAACAACATGGAGGTAAATTACGCCGATATTCCCCCTAGACCTGCTATATAACGATCGACACAAGTGGCATCGACGATGTATCGGCATCCGCAGCACGCTTTAATCACGTGTGCACGCATCTCACCTCTTCTAAGCTAGCAGGACCAAATCGGCAGTATCATACAAATAAACTTAATACATATATTTATCCCTTCTGCTCAAAAAATAACTCACCGGCCGATGCGCAACAGCGGAGTTGTAATTCTGCGTTGATCTGTAACAAAAGAAATATTTTTATATTAAAGCTACGTCCAAGATAATCGACAGTAAACAATTATCGAAGTAAATAATTATTGCCCGTTTTTAAAACATTATTTTAACAAATATCTGATTTTAAAATGTAAAAAACAATCGCGGCCGCCGGCGCCGCAATAAGCGGCTGGATATTTCCGTGTTAACTAGTTCTCATAATTCATCCGCGAAAAATTGTGCAAATAATACTGCGACCGTGCGAATAAGAGAGAGACGCGACGTTCGCGACGTAATATCTCACATACGCCGGAGATCAGACTCGACCCGAAATTGCACCGTAGTTAAAAACCACGAAAGTGGCGGAGTCCACCACAGAACTGACAGGACGGCAAAATATAATATATTATAATATAAGAAAATTAACAACTACTCACCCCACGGTCGCTCCGCCGTCGCCCGATGCCTCCCAGGCCCCGTTCTCTTCTCCTCGATCGTCCTCCGTTCCATTGTCGCACTCACTCACAACGCGACGACGTTTACGAGCGAAAATCGATGATATCGTCTCCTCTTATGATCGCGCGACACTAAAGGCACACGGCACTCCCGGTATTAATCTCGCGACGCGGTAACTAATTACGTCGCGGTCGAAGAAACTACGAACGAAACTATACGATCCGCTTGACGCCCATGACGCCATGACGCCGCACCGTGACATCCCGCGATTCCCGCGATTCCCGCGCGCAGGTAGACACGACAAGTGAAGCGAAGGTGGCGGAGAGAATTTCGTAAATCGCGCACGGCCAACTTCACTCGCCCGGAGCAACTGTCTCGAGAACGCGATAACTACGGATTATCCGAAAAAATGTAATCGAATGCGATATATCTCGGTATCCGTATAAATTCCTCGAAGCACATGAATTAAATGAACTTTCGATATATGTATCACAGTTTTTCGCAAGCTAAACAATCGGACCCGGCGACAGGCGACACCCGGCGACTCGTGTATTTACTCCGCGATATGGGAACGGGAACTGGAGTGAGGGGCGCGGGGCGCGGGAGTAACGACACGTCTGACGTCAGAACAGGTCACGGGCGTCGCGGTAAACATGAGTAGTGGGGATAGAGTGGGGGTAAGGTGAATACACACTACACACGGTGCGCGGTCGGTTAGTTCGGTATGCCGGATGCCGGGTATGCGTATCGCATAAAGCCTATACCCCTCTCTATCCCCACTGCTCATGTTACCAAGGCGCCCGCGGCCCGTTCTGATTTCTGATGTCGTTGCTCGCGGATCGCACATCGCAGAGTAATATAAGTACGAATCGCCAGGTCCGATTATTCAGATTACAGAAAAATGTGATACATCAAATGTTCATTTAAGGCCGGTTCTAATGCCCGGTCTACAATGAATGTCGGAAGTCGGAGTCGTAAGAAATTGACCAATCACAGTTCATTATTCTTCGACCGCAAGAAGAATAATAGATTGTGATTGGTCAATTTCTTACGACTCTGACTTCCGACATCCATTGTAGACCGGGCCTAATACAATCAGTCGTATGTCGCCTGTCGGATGGCCCAATGAGAGAATTTCTTTTTCGATAACGAATTTTTCTCATTGGACCATCGGTTACGTTCCGACATCCGAGGTATA